TACAGTAAAGAGAGAGAGAGAGAGAGAGAGAGAGAGAGAGAGAGAGAGAGAGAGAGAGAGAGAGAGAGAGAGAGAAATAATGGCAAAAGGTTGGGTAGATGGGAAAGGGGTTTTTAATATAAAAAGAATTGGGGGAGCAGGATAAACATAAGTCAAACATATTGTATATAGAATTCTCAAAGAACTAATAAAATATATTTTAGAAGAAAAAAAAAGAAGGCCAAAGCAAAACACAGTCAATGCATTCAATTTATTTTTGGAGGCACTTTATCTCCTAATACTTTGTCAGGATTTTTAGTTTCCTTTAGGTCCTTTGGTTATGTATTATGATTTCCAGTTTTGTGTGTATGGGGCTTCTGTGTGTGCAATTGTGTCTGTCTCTGTGTATATTTATGTTTCTCAAGCTTTTTCTTTGTTTTTTCTTCTGTTTGTTTTGTGAAATTTTGACTTTTTAAAACTTTATCTAATTTTGTTTCATTTTATTTTTTAAGATGTCTGTTTGTATCCTAAATAGAGAGAAAAAGAAAGGAGGTAGATTTGTTGGGAGAGAGAAGTGGGAAGGATCTTATAAAAAATGTTGATGAGATATCATAATAATAATGTACAGTATTAAACTTCTATTTTCAATTAAAATATATTCAAAATAAAATAAAACTGCTCTGAAATGCAAAGTCTGTTTTAAATGCACAGTACATTGAAGAACACACCGAAAGTATCAAATAAGTGTCTGTTATGATTTTTAAAAGAGAGGAGGAAGCATGCTACTCATACAGAGGACCTGATTGAGTTCCCAGCACTTGAGTTGTTCACCACCTCCTGAAACTCCAGCTCCAGGGGATCCAATGCCCTCTTCTGGCCTCTGAAGTACCAATGCACATGGCATGTGATCACACAATAACACGACAGAGAAACACACACACACACACAAATCAAAATAAAAAATTACCTTGAGGTAAATTTAAGTTGAAACTATATAATATCTAGGAAAAATGACACTGTTAAAACCTCTGCAATTTTATATAAGCAAAATGTATTTTGATAGCATGAAAAAGTGATATGTCAAACTACAATGAAATGTTAAATTTTATATTGTTGAATGATTTATTTCAGAACATGCAGACTAGACAGTAAGAAAATATTACATCACACAATTCTATCAAAGGCTTTGTATCCAAATTATATATACCTCTTACAATGTTGCAACTTCGAGATGAACAGATACAAATAGATATTTCACAAAGGAGAACATGACTGACCAATAAGTACTTGAAAAAGATGGTTGGTATTATTAGTTCTTAGAGAAATGATAATTCTTCAGTTAATCAAAATGGTAAAATTTCAAGATTTCAAGCATGGAATTGTATCAAGTGTTGGCAAAGATGAAGGGCAAAGGGAACTCTCCCATGATGCAGAGAAAGTAAGATGATGTAGGCCATTCAAAACATGCTGTAACTTTCTTGTGAAATGAAACTGCACCTAATACTGGAACATATATATCCAAGTTCTAGATTTTTACCAAAATAAAAATAAAATTAAATGTATTTCACACAGTGTACATACACATCGGTATGAGAACTTTATTTAAAATTGTTAAAACTTGAAACATATCCTATGTTTACATGTGAATGGAGAAATATCATGGTATATTTGTGTAATATAAAAGTACTTGTAACAAGAGAAATGAACCACTTATCTGTGAAAAAAGCTTGAGTTTCCTAAAAAATAATAATGATAATAATAGTAGTAAAAGATGCAGAGGAAAATGGAGCCAAATAAAAATCTGTGCCTAGTATATGACACACTTGACTATGTCTTACTAATTTGCAGTACAAGAGAGCATATGTCTGCTTTCCAGGGCCCAGGTAGGGAGAGGAGTAGAAATGAAACCTGGGTGGCAAAAAAAATGCCCTGTTAGGGTTTGATTATTCTATTAGTTGAGGTTTCTATTGTTGTGAAAAAACACTATGACCAAAAAGCAGTTGAGGAGAAAAAGGTTTATTTGATTTACACTTCAGCATTGCTGTCAATCATCAGAAGTCAGGAGAGAAACTCAAACCTGGCAGGAATCAGGAGGCAGAAGCTGATACACAGGCCATGGAGGAGTGATGCTTACTGGAAGATTTCCATGGATTGCTCAGCATGTTTTCTTATAGAACCCAGGAACATCAGCCCAATAGTCTCACAACCTACAAAGAGCTGAGGTCTCCTAATCAACCACTAGTTATGAAAATGACCTATAGGCTTGCCTGCAGCCAGATCTTTTTGAGGCACATTCTTAATTGAGGTTTCCAACTCTCAGATGTACATGTTTGTGTCGAGTTGACATAAAACTAGCCTCCACAATGGTTCTTGAAGAGATGTACATATTTTTAACTCATATTTCTCATGACTTACAGTGGGGACATTTCAATTACATACAACTTCAAGGTCAAATTTGATATTTTTAATGTCAGATTCAAAAAATAATGATATCATAAGTCAATAACCATGTTAAAACTAAAGGACACTGCAAGGGAAAGCACTGATGATAGTGAATGTGAAGAAATATCAACAGTGATATAACTCAGAAAACAGACAATTATTAATATGAATTATGGAATAGATCATATTACTAGATCAATACTAAATTTCTTGTGTCTTATCATTTTAGTATGATGCTATAATAGAAATTGCTTAGAAAATATTTATGAACACTTTAGTATTATTATTATGACCATCATTATTATAAAGCTTCATGAGACAGAGTCTCTTTCTGTAACCCATGATGGACTCAAAAATACTATGCGGCCTAGACTTCATTCAAACTCAAGTGCTTATAAGATTATAAGTCTGAGTCATGGCATCCAGATGGCCTCAGTGAATGTTACTTTATCCATGGGATTTCAATTTGCCAGCAAATAGGTCAGACGGGGGGGGGGGGCAAGAAATGAGAGCACATTTGACTATGAATGGTTGTATGAGTTTCTTGACCTAGCTTAGCAACTATTCATCAAATCTGAAATTGTGTGTTTTATAGAAAATAAATCTTTTCTAAACATAAATTCTTGTCTACACAAAACAACAAACACTAACCAACCAAAAGACAAATAGAACCCCAAAACTGCATCGTAGTTCTTAATTGTGATGTCAAAGCAATGGAACATTGAAATGGTGGTATCCTAGGGATGATGAGTTAGTTATGTGTGCTAATTATTAGCATTCTGGATTTGGTTCCATGGGTCATTCGGGAAACAAAGGATGATTCCTCAGGGCTTGGAACAAAGGGCATCCATTCTTCAGACATGAGCTGCTATGTTTAGTAGGAAGGGAGAAAGCTTCTGGTGTGTTAAGTTAGATTTCAGTAGAACATTTCTTCTCTTTCCAGCTCATTGCCATGTTTGCTCAGCTGACTGAGTCCTTCGGTCAATGCATTCAGTCATCAAGTAGTCACAAATCATCACAGGATACCAACAAAGATGACAAAATGTTCCATTTTTATTTTTCCTTCATACTGTATATAAAACCAGGGAATTTATCCATTCTCTTTTCACAGATACAGGCGTGGTTTCGACCACAGTCATCTTCATGTATACCTCCAAAACTCAGATATGCACAGCCTCCAACTTCCTGTAATAATTTCACTGTTGTCAAATTACTGTAAACAAAACATACAATGGGCATTTATTAAAATTTGAAACTTACATTGATGTGATGTAGGCTATGATTTTAAAAACAATTTTTATTGACCAAAATATACAGAATATAGAATTAATTATGTTTTACTAAAGGTTTTTTGTTTTCTCTAAACTCATTAAAAAAGGTCTTGAGCCAGTGACACAGATCAGTGGATAGAAGTCATTGCCACCAAACTTGACAACCTGAGTTCAGACTTCGGATACACAGAGTAGAAGAAGAAAAGTGACTTCTTCAACTACCACTAAATACAGATGTGCTGTGACATGGGATCACATATGCATACATTCACACAAAAATAAATAAATGTAATAAAAATAAAAATAAAAATGTTCTCTTGATAACAATTGAGGAGAGAGAAGGAAAGAACTTGACTTTAAGTGGGTAGAGAGGTGAGGAGGATGTAGTAGGTGTTAGAGGGTGGGAAAGCTGATCAAAATATATTCAATTGAAAAATGAAAATTTAAAATGAAAATATAACCATAAAAAGAGTTAGAACTACAGAAAACATGAGTTATTAAATGAAAATCAAAGTATAAAGCAGGGGATACATCCAGAGGAATTATTGGTCAGAGAGACTGCAGAGGTCTCTACACCAGCACAGCATATTGCCATTACCTTTGCTTACCAACCATAACTACATGGTAAGACCTGATTGCTGGTACACCACACACTTTGATGTCAGAACATAGAGAAATCAATTTCAAATCAACCAGAAAACTTCTTTCCTTGAGCTATTTTTCAAAGGATAAGAAAGGTGGTTTGCACGCTTCTGGGGGAGAAAAGATATGAATCTCTTACCCAGCACTGGGGCCTTCATGGTTCAATACTGACCTGCTAGGCAAGATGTGCCCAGTGGTACCATTGTCATAGGATAACTAAGTGTTTTCTTATTAGTGTTGAGATCTTTACTATATAAGTGATATTGTGTTTGCTACTGTAATCCAAATGAAAAGCCCATTAATGTGGAGGTCAAGGGCCCTGGGGTGGAAACTGCTACAATTATGTTGATAAGTGGGCATGTAGTCAAATTGTACTCTCAGTACATGTGTTTATGGCCAAGACCTGGGCTGCTCTCGACCTTGGTCAGAGAAGCTTCTTTTGCAGTAGGCAGTAATCAGTACAGAGCAGCAGAACTAGTCAAATTTCAGAAGAGAAGAGAAAATGTGTTTAGCCCTATGGGGACATTTTCAACTCCCTCCCCTTCAACACCATCCCAAGACTTAGGGAACAACAGGGAAGAGAAAGTGGGAAAAATATAAGAGCCTGATGATAAGAAAAGCTCTATGAAATCTTGCAATCTGGACATGACAAGGCTTTCCTACTCACAAACTCACAGCAGCTGTGGTCACCTATATGAGACCTGAACAAGATCAAGCCAGCCAGAATTCCAGCATAGTTGGGGAGTGGTCCTCTATCTCTTAAGGAGATAATATTATTAGGTGACTGCTACTGGAAACGGGAGACATATTCTTTATTAAGGTTGTGGCCACTGGGAGGTGTCCTTGCTCCAGTGGATGCCCTACAAACATCCACCAGTGGACAGGATCAAGTAAGAAAACATGAGTTAGATGGGACCACCTTAGGTACAGTCTGGAGAAGGTTGAGAAGGCATGAAAAGGATTCTATGATCATATTTCATTCTGTATATGTATGAGATTTTTAAGAAATGGTATTAATAAAGAAAATCAATGAAGAGTTTCTATCAGAACGAACTTAGAGCTTATAGACTACAGCAACCTTGAAATGAAAAAATATGCATTGCATATATATTGTGTTTTTATATTTATAAATTAATAATTATATGAGCTAACTACAGAAACAAGTCAAGTGTATGTTTAAGATACACTCATAATATCTTTCATGATGATCAAGTTACTTCACATGATTTTAAGCTTTGGTTTTTTTGTGCCCTCTACATCTTAGAACACACAACCCTGAGCTGTGTTCAGTATTACATCACTAGCAGTCAGTTTCTAAACCATTCCTCTTCCCTGTCTAACACTTGCTCAAACACTGTCTTATGCATCTTGTCCTGACCTGTGAACTCCATAGAAAATGAGGAAAGCCATGGGAAATGAGAGAAAAGCCTTTGCAACCCTCCTCCCAACTGTGCACCAGTGTTAGAGTGTGAGGGCTCAGGAAACTCACAGTTTAGATGGGCCATCGCCAGTCCATTGCCATTCCCCTTGCTTCCGTTATATTTTAATTCAATCCAGTATCTGTTTGTAGTAAACTGGGACTGTAGAAACTTCTGTAAGGGAAATAACACATATTATGATAAAATGTCCATCTGTTTGGTGAGAAAAGAACAGGGTAACAGTCCCCAGCTATTCTTGTATCATTTCTCTGCTGTCCTGTCCTCTAGCACTTCAGTCCTCCAAGTTCATTTTTAAAGTGATTTCCCACTAGTAGGTCATTTATGTAAAATCCGATGACAGTTACATAAATTATTTAAAATGGAAACTTCAGGTGTCTAGAGATACTGGATTCATGAAATGATTTGTGACCGTGTTTCTCAGAGAAAGTATCACTGTGTAGCCAAGGTAGACATTGAACTCACAATCTCTCAGCTTCAGACCCTGGCTCCTTAAGTGAGTCCAACACTTTATGAAATTATTCAAATACACATTTTAGAAGACCACAGAAGCATGTGGGAAGTGTTCAACTTAAGTGACCCCTTGTCTAAAAAAACTAATTAATCCAGATGATATATCCAAGTCTTCTGTGAAAAGCTGTACGCTATCCTCCATGTTCCAGCAATGAAGCCATGCTGTTACTTAGATCCCAAAGTGACAGAACTTGAGGAAGTGTGAGATACTTGGAAGTAAATAGTGTGTCTTACATGTGACACATGAGTGGAATGATACCTAATAAAATTACTGAATATATTTTATGATAAGTTTAAATTTCCCATGTTTACTGTATCAAATGAAAAATTATATCATTACTTGACATTAAAATTTATTTTATGCTGTAATTATTCAGACATGTATTAAATTGGTGAAAAAAGTGTGCATCATGTTCTAAATGACAAAGTTTTCAAGCTCATTATTCAACCATTTATCTAGAAAAATACCATCTATGTATTTGAAGAAACTTTTTTAGTAATAAAAGTAAACAGTTAATGTCAGGATCCTGGCCACTTGTTTTCCTTGTTCATTTCCAAAGATAGATTTTTTTTATGAAATATATGAATATTAGGAAGTAAATATTATGGGCAGATTCAGTGAAATCAACTAACAGGAAAAACTGTTTAATTTCTGGTTCTCATATAATTTCCATTTTGCAGATTGGCCCAGAGCTCAGTTACTTTCTCTAGTGTCATCCAGTTACCCATCTCAGGCAATCTCACTTCTGGATTGCAAAGAGCAAACTCTGGACCATGGTCTCTCTGGGTGTAGGTGGCACTCTATGGAGATAAATAACTGTCAGTTACAAGATGTGCTATACCAAAGGGCTAAACTTATTCAGGTAAAACATGCTTCTCTGCAGGATTAGTTCACAGATTCCTGGCAAAGGGAGGAGATTGTAAAGACAGGATTGTCTCCTTAGTAATGAGTCTCCTCATAACACCCTGTGTCCTGACACTAAATAGGAAGTAGGAAGGAGTGGACTAGAAAACTCTTACTGTATGATTTTTGCTTGAATTACAGGAAAACCACATACAACTGCTTAAGGACTCTTTTTTTTTAAAAAAAATATCTGGGCTCAATATTTCACTATCAAGGGTTAGAGAAGGAGTCTAAGAATAAAGAAGCATGTAGAGTCTATGATACCAGTTCATTATCATCATCTATCTTCAAAAGGGATAAGCTGCAGTCCTGGCAGGTCTGGTCACATCCACTCCAGCGTTTATTGTCCATGATGAAATAATAACATTTTATGCCACGGCAGAACAAACGTCCTTCAACAGGTTTCCCTACAACAGATAAGACAATGGTGAAAATTTTTATTTTCTGTTATTCTGTCATTAGGACTGTGGTGATATTTTGCATATGCTTGTCTGAATGTCAGAGGGCAGAGCTAGTCAGAGAGTTAGCCATAGAGTTAGCTGTAGAGGCCAGGCAGTGGTTGCACACATCTTTAATCCTAGCTCTATAGGCAGAGGCAGATGGATCTCTGTGACTTCAAGGCCACCATGGACTACAAGAGATTAATCCAGTCTAAAAGAGAAACAGAGCCAGGCAGTGATGGCTCACACCCTTAATACCAGTACTTGGGAGTCACATGCCTTTAATCTCAGCACTAGGAAGGTTGAGACAGGGAGAGATATAGCTGGGCAGAGAAAAGAATATAAGGCAAGTGGAGATAAGACTCAGGGGCATTCAGTCTGAGGATTCATGGAGACAGGATCTTCCCTTTTTGGCTGAGGAGTTGGTGAGGTGAGAAGTGGCTGTGGCTTGTTTCCTCTGATCTTTCAGTATTTACCTTGATATGTGTCTCCGGGTTTCTATTATAAGACCTATTAGGATTTGTGCTACAGAAGATTGTATTTATTGCACATCTATAACTAAGTAAAACACTCATGGCTCTCAAAAATTGAGACACTAGAATGCTGAGACCCCTGCACACCCATGTTCTATGCAGCACTGTTTATAATAGAGATATGGATAAATTTAAGTGTTCATTATGGATGATCAATAGAGAAAATGTAGCATATACACACAAAGGATTACTATGTATCCTTGACAGGGGAGAAAGCCAACCAGGCATGATGACTTATGCCTGCCTATAAGCCCAGCACTCCATAGGCTGAGGCATGAGGTTCACCTCTAGTTTGAGGTCAGCCTAGGTTGAGCAGTGAATTTCAGGCCAGCCTTGGCTATATATGGTGAGTTCCAAGGCAGCCTGGGCTACAGAATGAAACCATTTTTACATCTAACCCCCTAAAGAGAAATCCTGACCTATGTGACCAATTTTGCAGTAAGAGTCTTCCATATGACTCCTGACTGCTGTTCACTTAGTGTGAGGACTAAGTGTCCTGTTATGAGCTGATTCATTACTAATGAGACAGCAGAGTCTTTGCAATAACTTCCCTTTCTCAGAAGTCTACAAGAAAGTCTTTCCAGAGAAGCATGGATGAACTTGCAGATAGAATGCAAAGTGTGACAAACTAGTGCCAGTACCACACTTTTCGATTTCACTCAGATGAGGTTTACAGCACAGCCCAGTTCTAAGAAGCCCAGGTTTGTAAGATCCCAGGGGCTGGAGGGAGGGGAAATGGAGCACTGGCTGCTCAGAGGCAGTTACATGGATGATGCAAGGCTAGATCTGTAGTAATGCACTGTGCCCACAGTGGCCCACATGCTACTGTTACATGTACAGCTGTGCTGTGGCCTATGTTAGATGCTCTTAACTTAATAGAAATAAGAGACAACTAAGGAAGCTTTTGATGGTGATTTTCTGTTCTCCTGCCTTCAAGGGTTACACCCACATGTCCCAAAGTATCAAATTTGAATATATTAAAACATGTGTAGTTTACATAGCTACAACCTCTCAATAAGATTTATTTTGTTTGGTCCTGTGCTGGGGACCCCCTTTCTCTATTAATAAACCTTTATGTCCAACCCTTGTTTTTCTGAGAAGAGGTATCATCACTCTGTAGTTCAGGCTGGCTTGGAATTTGCTGGACACCTAGACTGTCCTCAAATTTGCAATCCTCCTACCCTCAGTGTTCTAATCACAAGCATTGCAGAATCATGCTGCCACTTAGAGATGGTAGTTATTTTATTCTAAAATCATAATGTAAAACAGTTTTGATGAGTCTGGAATGCCTCAACGACTATTTTTGGACTATATCTTTTTCTCTGTCACATATTTTAAAATTTACCAGTGTTAAAGATATTATTATTCCTTGAATAATGAAGATTGTCAACCCCTGCTGTCATGCACAGTGAGATCATGTTTAAGAGTTCTTTGTGAACATTAACTTTTGAAAAAATTTTTAATAATGAATAATAAACTGTGTCAATTAATGTTAACCAGTCACGATGCAAGGAAAGAAAGTTCCTTGTAACGATTGATATTTTCATCTCTGTGTCATTCAGTGACAGAGATACACCAGTGTGGGCACCATGGAGAAGTTCTCATGTGTGCTGCAGTGAGCTTCACTATGGTCACACACAGGCCAGCTCTCTGATACCAAGGCAGAAGGAAAACACACACACATACACACACACCACACACACACACACACACACACACACACACACACACACACACACACTTATTTTTATGACTGCATCCATGTAAATGCTTTATGTCCCATTTCACGCCAAGAATTTGGTAAATACTCTCTTATGGAAAACTTTCACATTCTGTCAACAAAAAAAGTGAGGACTCAGATTTGACCTCTCATGAAAACGACCTGAATTCTCAGCTGTGCTGACTTGAGATTCCATCCCCTGGGAGCCGTGGGAGACAGGATGGCCATTGAGTTCTAGAAATTAAGATTTTCCTAATCCAAACAGGGATTTCCAGGGTTCCAGGCCCCTCCATGATACAAGGAAACCCTGCCCATTAACTCAGGGATCATATGCATTGTTAGCTGCTAGCTGGACTTCAAATCTCCTGGAGAAGAATCAATACAGAATAATGCAATCTTTATTCAATATCCCTCCTTACCTGTGTGCTGCACACAATCAAAAACAACCTTAGTTCCCCCACAGCATCTGTTCTGTTTTCTATTGAGAGTGTCTGGTTCCTTCTGATGTTGGAAGTCATCACACCCTGTAGACTTTCTTCTCAAAGTTTCATTCAAGCAGCTGTTATTTTGCATGGTGATATTCCTTTGATTGGGGTTGTTTAGATTTTTCTGTAGTTCATAGTTTTCTTGACTATACTGAAAAACTAAAATGAACAAAAGGTGTAACTCAAAAATGGTTATAAATACTAAATATTGAAATTTAAGATATAAGAAAAGGTCCCATGTTGACAACATATACCATTACTTCAATTGGATTTTGACTTTTAGAAAATAACACCTCAATTAACTCACTAAAGAAATGGAAACATCAATTTTCCTCTACCAGAAACTTCAGTATTAAGTAAATGATAAAGCAGAATTAAATTATGGTGGAAGTACATTTCCTTCCAATTCCTTAATTTTTTTCTCTGCATAAAACTTACAAATAAATATCTAACTAAAAAATTCAGTCAACCTTTAACATCCACTGAAAATGTGAATTAAGAAACATGAAGAAATGGCACAATTCCCAAAAGACCAGATGAAAAGCATAATATCCAGATATGTAGCTATATTTTATCACATTCTGGGAGTGATTTCTTCTAAAGATATAAAGGAATCTAATAAGGCTGAAGTGTTAAGGTCTCTGTACATATCTAGTCTTTTTACACAACAGTGTCCTCATTACAGACTGAGGAAAATGAAAAGAAGGCCATCATTTCTTTTGCACAGTTGTTTCTCACAGAATGTTTACCTAAGATTCCCAGTCTCTTCAGCTCAGAAGGCAGACTATCACCAAGTTCTCAGAATGAACATGACCATGAATGAGAAAGTACAAAAGCTCTCAACAGCCCCAAAGTTAATGAAATAGGTATGTAAGAGAAAGGGACACTGTAGTGTGCCAGGATTAAAAACATCCTAAGAAATGGGCGGTGGTGACTCAAACCTTTGATTCCAACACTCAGGAGGCAGAGCCAGGAAGATCTCTGTGAGTTCCAGGCCAGCCTGGTCTACAGAGTGAGATCCAGGACAGGCACTAAAACTACACAGAGAAACCCTATCTCGAAAGACCAAAAAAAAAAAAAAACAAAAACAAAAAAACCCAAAAAACTTAAGTCCAGAGCTATGTAGCACATCCCCTGATTATAGGCAGGTCAACGGGCAGAGTGCAATAACTGCATAATAAGTGACTGTTATTACTTAGGCAGGAAGGCAAAGAAGATGTATACCAGTTACTCACTGTGTGTCACCAACACTGCAACTGTCACCAGCAGAATGGAACAAAGGACTCCTAGAGGTATTGCAATGAGGTGCCATGGAACTAAACACCCTTAATCAAAACAAACAAAAAGCAAAGCAAGAAAATGAACACCATGAAAAGAGCAAGTCCCAATATTGATTATAATTTTGTGTAGCATAGAGACAATGGGATATTGGTTTCTAAAAATTTTACAGAAGTCCATCATACAAACTAAATGAACACTGCTTTCAAAATTGTATTACACCCATTATAGAAATCTTACATGTATGAAGTTTCACAGGATTTCAAACTTTTTTCACCTTTGAACTTGTATTTTCAATCCTCCTGACTCAGTCTAGAAATAGCCGTATGACAGGCACCTGCCTCTCACCCAGTTCTACAGGATCAAAAGTGCATCCTTCAGAAAGCACTGGAGGCACAGACACAGTCCAGGTAGACAATCCCAAACTGGAGTGTGCAGTCCACCAAGGGAGCATAACTGTGGATGAGGAGGAAGGGATGAAGGATGGATGTTCTTGAGAACTGTCAGGAACCATGGCAGTTCTGGAGCTGACTTGTATATAGGCCCATCCTTAAAGGAGTTTATAAGTCAACTCTTGATTTTTTTTACATAAGTTCTATTTTTCTCTAGATAATACAAAACATCTCCATGTATCTGAGGTGTTGGGAATCTGAAAGTTAAGCCTCTGATTATCAGTATGTCAAAGAAGTTAAAGTTTAGGGTTCATTTGTGACATTATATGAAGAGTGAGCAGAGAAAGAATAGAAAATTTTTATTAGCAATCTTAATTATTCTGCAAATGTATAATGTGGTTAGTCATCCCCATCCCCACTACTATCTGTCATCCCCTCTCTTCCTCTGCAGCTTCTTTCTAGGAAGAGACTCTGTCATCTGATAGATGACTCTTGAAGATTTTATGCACTAGATATTGAAAAATACTTAAGATAATAAAAAACTTTCTGTTAGAGTGAAAGTATTGTTTATAATGAATACTTTTAATTTCCTTAAGATTTTATTTCTCTAAATTCTTCTGATTTTAGAGTGTTTATTTTAAAAGTTTCAGAATTCTTCTTGACAAAACTAAAAAAAAAACTTATTAATTTTTTCTCAAATTTGACAGAATATATTCACTTCTTCCTTCTGCATTCTCAATAACTTTTTCTTACAGGCTCCCATCATTCTACTCTGCCCATCCAGCTTTCTTTTGTTTATAGCTAACACCTAGAAATAGGATTATTGCTGGGTGGTGATGGCATACACCTTTAATCACTGCACTAGGGAGGCAAAGGCAGGAGGTCTCTGAGTTGAGGCCAGCCTGTTCTACAGAGTATGTTTCAGGACAGCCAAGGCTACACAGAGAAACCTGTTTCGAAACCCCTCACTCCCCACCCCCCCCAAAAAAGGAAAATAAAATGAAACAGACTTTAGCCAGGCATGATGGTACGTGCCTTTAATCCAGGCACTTGGGAGACAGAGGCAGGAGGATCACTTTGAGTTTAAGATCCGCCTGGTCTACAAAGAGTTTTGAGACAGCCAAGGCTATTAGAAGGAGAAACAATTTCTTTAAAAAAAAAAAAGCAACCCCCTAAAACGTAGGGTTCTTGTTTCCAATGGCAGCCTGTGGTATATTATTTTCAAAATTAGAAGTTTATGATGCATTAAAAATAGATGAATTTAGATGTTTAAACACTTACCTCTGTGGCCAGCTTCTCTGGGCCCTTGTGTCTCATCAGCCCTTCCTTGATTCTGCAACTCTGAAGACTTATGGAATCTCACAGTTGTGTAAGTAATCTCCTCATCACCCATCTTGAGAGTAAGTGAAGTATGGTCTGTGTTAAAATCTGCCCTTGAGTGAATTCTAAGGAAAAAGTTAAAATGTCCACATTTAGGAAGGTACCTGGATCTGATGCTGCAGTGGGGTGGGAAGGGGTGTGGTCTGATTCATTCCCCTAATGATCCAAACATCTTAAATCACATGGACTGACCCTGTTTTCCACTAGAGGTGAGAAGTCTTTGAAGATTTCTGTAATTTATACATCTACAGGCCACAGAACTTACTATCAGGAGATACTGAAAGAATCAAAAACTTACTAATAAGTCATTGTAATATTGACAGAACACATATATAAAATGTTAGGCATAATTGGTACTACCACAAACAATTGAAATACTTTTAAACCATCAATTAAAATAACAAAAAATCAAAGCTTTCTGAATAGATAAAAATCTTAGCTTTAAAATTATTTACATGTTTTGATAAACACATGAATGTAAAAATGTTCTTGTAGTCTTTTCAGTCATGCATGACTATCAGAGTTTCTGAGACACCACCTTTGAAACAATATATGAGGATTAATACTGCTGTTGATTAACATTTTGGGCTGAAAGTACACAAATATCTCTCCCGAGATGTCCAACTTCTCCACTCAGTCACATCCTACACATTATTCTCCAGAGTCAAGCCTGATAAATGCATGAAACTAAAGAATATCCTACTGAGTGGGGTAACCTTGACTCAAAAAGAAAAATATTGCATGTTGTCCTACAATTGAGGCTCCTGGCTCCAAGTCTTCAGACATGCTACAGAACCTGGAGTAACTGCAGTAACCAGGAAAGTAGAAAGGGGATTGCAGGGGTGAGGTGTGAGAGCAATAGAGAGGGGCATAGCAAGGTATAACCTGAAGTTTTAATTTCAAATCATTCCATGTACATAATTATTTCACATATTATATTCTAGTATATGATATTGCCAGAGGAACTTATATGAAATTAATATGCAGCAATCATTAATTAATGCCCATAAGGGATCCAATCTGATAATAGATATCAATGTATTACTGAATAGCAAATATTTGTAACTTACCTTATTCCTGACATTAGTAACTGAGATGACAGCCAGCAGATAATATAGAAAACAAGCTTCACAAGTGACAGCATTCTCTAGTTTTTTAATTTATGAGGTTTTTTGAAATTACTTACATTTTGCCTTATTTCTTGAGAAAAAGAAATCTTTCTATTACAGAATTCTTTTTCAAAATCATTATTCATTATTTTTGCTGTTGAGGGTGAGGGTACTTGAGCCATGGTGCATGTTTCCAGAGGATAATTTTACCGAGTGTGTCCTCTCATTCCACTTTATGAGGGTCCCATGGATCAAACTCAGGTGGTCAGTCCGGCTTGTGTAGCAAGTACATTGAGCCACCTTACCTGGCTCCTGCTATGACTTCTTCAAGATGGATAATATATAAACATTTGATCCAGTTAAAGAGTAATGAACTCCATAGAACCCTTTACCTTATTTTTTTAGCACACAGCAGAAGTCACAGAATACTCAGAAAGAAAACCAGTGCTGAACTCTAGTTTTCACATGCTGCCAGAGTCAACCAGATCAAACCCAACCAACACGGCTTACCCATCAATCCTACTCTCAGGTCACACCATCTGAAATTCTCCAGAGAACATAAGATTATGCGATAGAAAAACAATAAAAGCAACTTTTACCTGTGTTTTGACCCGAAATGATTATTGTGGAGGGAATTGATCCCTAATTGGGAGACAAGTTGGTGTTTTCTTTTCTGTATGCTTTCAAAGGCTCCAAGAGAAAAGGCAGAACTGAATCGCCTCTGAGTGATGTTCAAGCTCATGATTTTCTGCCCCTCCTCTTGACCAAAAAGAAAAGAGGAAATTGCATGATGAAAGCTGATGCTGACGGACAGGAAAGAGCCAATCTACCATGTCGGATGTTGCAAATCATGTCCATAATCAATATTTGAAGACCGATAAGATAAATGTATCTGCTAGAAAGACAAAACCAGTATCCTTTTCAAAAACACTAGTAAAAGGAAATGACTGAAGTTCCTCCACTCCTAATTTTGTAATAGGTTGATTGAAATTTTTTTTGCATTACTATTTGAAAAAAAATAAAATTACTTTCTGTTTTTGAATTATGTTTGTTACAGTTAAGTGTGTTTGAGGAATTACTTTTAAGCACTGACATTTCTACTATAAAAGTTTTACTGTATGCTCTTCTAGCTTTTTATTCATAGAGAATGTTCACAGTGGATGTTGATATCTTTCCATACAGAGTGGTCTTATGGCTGATGTTTTCATGGTGCTGGCATATCATACCTAAGATATTATGCATGTTCAGAAAATACTCTACCACTGAATAACAGACTCAGACTTTGTTTTGTTTTGAGTTTTTTGGTGTCTTTTTTTGTTTGATATAACAATTGTTATATCATACTTATTATGTAGCCCAGACTGGCCTCAAACTCTGAGTCAGTCCTCTTGACTCAGTCTCTTCAGTGCTAGGATTTTAGCTGTATACCACTACACTAATTTAACACCATGTTTCTAATTCAACTTTTCTAATAAGTAATAAGCATTTTTCATTTTATATATATTGATCTATAAGATTTTTAAAGACATATATCATTATTAATCACTTCTATACAGCGTAAATTAAGTAATTAGATAATCTCTTTCTGTTGAATATTTAAATTGTTTACGCTATTTCATTGTTAATTTAACAACTATATGGGCTATACTTTAGAACATACTTAGACATTTTATGCATGAAGTCATGGGATCAAAGGAGATAGACATTTAAGGAACTCTGATATAGATTACCATACACCCTATAATTCATTTATAGTCTACCAGTTGTATGTGAAAATAATCACGGTTGCTTTTGATTTGAAGCTGAGAGAAGGTGAATTTTTCTTCCAAGAGTTTTGCCCATGGTCCTGTGATGAGAATTCCTGCAAAGAAGCTGTGTCAACAAAGAATGATTTACTGATTACTTATTTAAAACTACAGTGAAGTGAAGAGGTTGGAATTTTGTAGATCCAGAGGCTAATTACTTTGCTATGTGATAGCTTTAGCCCCCTTAACAGCCATTCCTTGTGCACCTGTGTCAGAATTAACATTCTGTAACTAAACTTGGTGAAATCTATTAACTTAGCAGACCACTAACTTCCACTGGAAGCTAAGAATGTCATCTCCAGGCCTATAAAAATGCTTCCCCCATCTTTCTGTACCCACCTCTCTAATGTACTTATGAATGTATGTTGTATTTTCCTTGATTTATAACTTTCTCAGTTCTGTAAAACTACAAAAGTTCATGAAACTGCTTCCACATTGAAACATGGAGCCATGGTCACTCAAAGTGTCCCCAGAAGACACTATCTTTTATTACCTTAAAGGTGAAAGCTGGTTTTTGTATCAACAGGTCTTCCTTCAAAGCTCTTGGTGTTCACATTATTAGTGAGGCCTCATATTCTGACACTGAATGCTGAAGACTTTAGAAACATCTTTGGAATTGAGGGTACAGTTCAAGGAAGGGGTTTGCTTGACATGTGCAAATGCCCAGGCTTCACTCCAAACAGCACAATGGTGATGGTGGACATGAAGATGATAATGATGATGACAGAGGAAGGAGAGGAAACAAGACTATTTGATTCCAATAGTCTCTTGCCATGAGCTAACCCTTGCCAGAATATCTTCAAATCTCTCCCTAAAGTTTACTTTCTTTTGATTGTAGATTTTCAAACCTGATGGATTGTTTTTATGAAACCAATTTAACTTGTTCTTCAAATCAAATGACAGGGGTTAATGGAGCACTGGGGTTGGAGAATGGGGAAGGGGCTGGAGAACAAAAGAGGAACTAACAATACAATGACAAACCTAATCCCACTTGACTACAGCAGAGGTGAACTTCCTGCTTCTCTCTTCCTTTACTAACTTCTAGCCAGCCTTTAATCACCACTCTCTTAGCTCCCACCTCCAAGGTTTCCTCCTAACTGTTTCACAATTTGCTCCTGTCCTCACCACTAGGTTATTCTGCCTCTGTCTTACATGGCCAGTTTCTGTTTCCTTATATTATTCTTTTTGTAGACTTAAAAAAACTTTTAAATTTATTATTATTGTGTCTAATGAGTGTGTGTGAGTTCGAATGCATGCATGCCATGAGTTGCAAATGGGGATAAGGGGACAACTTGGGGAATTAGTACTTTTGTTACACTTTGGGTTCCATGGATCAAATTTGGGGAGGTCTGTGGTGGTATTATATTCCCCCAAATATTGTACATGCTAATAAACTTATCTGGGGTCAGAGACAGAACAGTCACAATATTAAACATGAGGATAGGCAGTGGTAGCACACACCTTTAATCCTAGCATTCCAGAGGCAGAAATCCATGTGTTTAAGGATACAGCCAAGCATGGTGACTCATGCCTTTAATCCCAGAAAGTGAGCCTTTAATCCCAGGGAGTGATGGTAGAAAGCAGAAAGGTATATAAGGCTTGAGGACCAGAAACTAGAAGCATTTGGCTGGTTAAGCATTTGGCTGGTTAAGCTTTTAGGTTTTGAGCAGCACAGTTCAGCTGAGAACCATTCTGGATGAAGACTCAGAGGCCTCCAGTCTGAGGAAACAAGACCAGCTGAGCATCCGGTGAGGCGAGGTAGATGTGACTTTTTCTGCTTCTCTGACCATCCAGCATTTCACCCCAATAACTGGCCCTGGGTTTGATTTTATTAATGATACTCTCTAAGATTCATGCTACATCTGGCGCCCAACGCTCGTGGTACTAATTCACAAAAAAGCTATTTGCCTGTGGCCATTCAGGCCCCAGCTCAGGCCCAAGCTACATGTTGCCGGTTGTGGTGGCACATTGGTTGGATTTACTGAAGAAGGCAGAGACAGGTGGATCCTGAGTTTGAGGCCAACCTAGGAGAAGCTTTGGCCGGGGCTGAGCCACAAACAGTGGTGGGACCCTGGAGGAAGCGGCAGGTGCTCCGAGTT